CTGACAGATTTCCAACAGAGAAACTCTTCCAGATTTTCAGGTTTCAGGCAGGTTTAACCTGGGAAGCAGATAGGACAAAAACAGATTAGGTTCAGGGTCAGGTTTTCTGGGAGTCAGAGATTCAGACAGGCAGGTTGGCTCAGGCTTGCTAACCATAACTGGCAAAACACTCTGGCGTCGGAGTGTAGCTCTCCGCCTCCATACTGGTCTCCTGATGAGCAAACGACAGGTGGTGAAGTCAGCTCCAGCTCCAGGAGACCTAGAACGCCCTCTGGTGGAGAAAGGTGGACAGACCTCCAGATCCCAACATACTGTAGGAAATGTTATTTAAGGAGTTTGTCCTAAATTATCACTTTACAAGAAAAAGAAGCAGAAAGATTTAGGGTGGAAACACAGAGCTTTCTTCAACACACGGTGAAACGGAAAAGGTTACCATTTTTTCAAAGTGATGCGTTTCATACGGTGCTGGTGAGAAAAGAAAAGGTCACATGATTTTAAAGGAGTGTCAAACTGATTATAACAATGAAAAAGAGGTTCAGACTGAAACTAAAATTGTTGCAGCTTCCTTAAAGAGCCTAACCCCCAGCGCCGGGCTTAACGTTTCAGGATGTGACCCTGCAGCATGCAGCAGCCTGAGCCACAGAGGAGGACTGTGCAGCCTTGTCCACAGTTATTCATAAGAGCGTCAGTGTGCTGAACACACCACACCTCCTGCTCTCTGAACACCGTTTTATCTTACCTCCTTTTATTGGACAGCAAATTAGCACACGGCAGCTTTCTGCACTTTAAGGCTCTTAAAAGGAGGCATGATCTATGGAGACGGGATCTGTCAGGCTTTCTGCAGGAGGGATGACACTGAGTAGCAGTCCTGATGATTGAAGGGAGTCGGTAAATTCACCGTGGAGCTCCTCCCACCGACAGCAGAGCACCGCTGGAGGCCAGCTGTATCTTGGAGGGACGTTCCTGCTCAGGTCTTGCGTGTCTCTTTCTTCTCTCTCTGGTCGGGGGCAGCTCTACATCAGGGGTCATGAGGTGACGAAAGGAAGGAGGAAGTTCCGTTAAAACTGCTGAGAAGTTTCAGTCAGGAAATATGAAGCAGATGGTTGAAGAATGTGTGTCTTCACATCTCCAGGATGCAGCAGAAATGAAGCTGGTAATGTGTTTTATAACTTCACCGTAATCGAAGGGCCACATAAAAAAAAACGCTCATAAAAGAAGGTGTTTGTGTTGTTGCAGAACGTTTGCTGCTACGTGTGTTGCTTCCTAACACGTGCTTCTGGGTCTCAAATTTGAGGAACTTTCGTTTTAAAGGTGCAACAGCTGTGGTGATGAAGGTATAACTCAGGATTATTTTGCTTAGTGAAGATCAATGCAGTACAGATTAGGCAGGGGCGGTTCTAGGATCAGAGGTTTGGGGGGCTGAGCACCCCCACCGGACAAAATCTAAATCTAGATAAGTCATTTTTTTTCTTAAAATAAGTGCATTTGA